CACTCTCTCTCTCTCTCTCCCTCTTTACCCTCGGTATAATCCGTAGCAAGACGGGAAAAGTTGCGGGTTTATCTGTTATAGGTGGATATGTATGAATAGGTATAGATATTTTCATTTATCGGAAGCAACCCTAGTATTCTTAAACCATTTTTGCGGTGATCGCCTGGGGGGTGTTTCCCTTACCCATCATCGTTTCATTCCTTGTTGGTCTGCTTGCCGAGCTTGCTCTCCCTCGCCCTCTACGTCCCTCCCTCTCTAGCACACGCATTCGAACTTGCTTTATCCTCGCCAACGTATGTTGGGTTACGTACGTACCTGCAGGATCTCGCAGGTGGTGCCTACATGTTGCAGCGATAACCGAGAAGGAACAGCTTCATGGTCCTTCCATCTATCCGTATTAAGGCTTGTTGGATTGTATTGGATAGCGGAAGGAATTAAATGCCTAACTACCCGCCGTCCCGCCCGTTAGCCAATGAGTTGATCATGGCGAATCCAGAAATGTCAATGAATGGCTGCGGCACGGAGCCCCGGATCAACCGGGCGGTCCCTTGTCTTCTGGTGCCCATCAATTTCATGGGCCGGCGGCATTGCATGGCCAAAGTGTGAGATCAGGGCTACGTATTTCGATTCTACACAGTAGGTCGATCCTTCGTAGATCCCCGTATCAAGATTTGCAGATCTTGAACAGGCGATTGTCATACCTGCCATCTGCCATCTGATGTCGTAGTCGCCAGTCCGCATGGCTTGAGGATGTGTGACATGGGGAAAGGGAATGCAAGGTTGCATGGACAAGTTCTCCTGGCGGGGCCAGCCACCAAATGAGCTGGATTCGTAAGACTATTTGTGAATTGAGACCCAGCCTCCAGGGGAAGAAGAAAAAAGCTGATTCAATATGACAAAGCTCAAGGCCTGCGACCCAGCGATATCCCGTGCTCGCTTTCGGAGAGAAGTCCGCGAAAAGACGGGAGCCCCTTGTATCTGGTAATGCTTTCGTGTGAAGTCGGAGATGGCTCCGCTACCAATTGCGATATCCATACATCGTGTGAACGGGTGTACTACTTCGACATCCGGCACCGAACCCTGCTTTGTGAGCAGGCTCATGGTCATTCTATTTTTGACTCTTGGAGGGGGGGAGTTGGGTAGGTTTGCCAACTTTGGGCACTGTTGGTGGGAACTCAAGGATCTCGAGGGGCAGTCTCAATCCGTGTAATAATTCATGAAGAATCAATGTCATGATTGCGTCAGCAGCCTCTGAAGAGATGGTCGTAATTACTCCCGTGCGTACATGAGCCGCCTGTCTATAAGTCCCGTACATTTCACCAATTTCGGACTGGAATGCGGGGGGTTCGATACCACTGATCCGCTCAAGGTCCCCATGTCTAGGCGAACGACCAGGTTTTGGCCAAGACGATGAATGAAGCAGAGTTTTAACGCAAAGCTCACTTTACTAGTACTATGGTCAGACGAGATAGTAGCCCTAGCAAAGCCAAGAAATTATGACCTGGACTTGACAGTCGTTGTTTGTGTATGATGATGCTTCCAACCTGTGGCGAAAACGTACCCCCCCAAAGGAAGCATTGAAGTTGGATATTCTATTCACAGAGGGTCGAGAACAGTAAACGATTTCTCGTATCTTCTGATTGGGGCGGCTGGTACTGATCAGGGATCTAAAGATTTGATACAAAACCTTGACTGCGTGCTTCCCCCGGCATAGTCGAACACAGGCTTTGACCAAACTCGTGAGATACGAGTAGTAGCATGTTGGCTTCGGGATTGTCGCAAATTCCATAACAGAGGTACTGTGTAGGACGTCTCCTGGTCAAAAGTAGTAGTGCCTGGATTAGCGCTTGTGGGTCGCAATCGCTGATCATCAGCTTGGTCTATATCTCAAATTCAGCCCTACTTGAGAGTAAGTATGACAGAAGAAGAAGAATAATGTCGGGCTCCAAGTCAACAGCCATGCAACGAATATTCTGTACCTCTTTCTGGTGTAGCAGCTGTCCATATGCCACGGAAAATCGAAAATCATGCAAGACATGAAGAACAAGAGGAGAATCGCTGTTGCAGTGGGCGCATAACTTGGTCTCGTCATGTCATATGATGACAGGGAGTGCGAGGGCATTCGGGAAGATCCACCGGCGGCCAGATCAGTCAGAACGGTTCCTTGGATGTACAACATAATTATTCATACCATGCCACGCAGTCGCCAAGCCGGGGGAGGGCGGTAACCCAATACTGAGTACTCCATGCGCTGCACTAGGTAATGCGGCAATGCAGTACCTGCGGGATGAATCTATCGTCAACGATACGTAGAGCTCAAAACTCCTGGACAACGAGACGTGCCGCCAATACTTCTGTTATTACTTTGGCGTCTTACCTCCAGACTGCCAATCTTGGGTGCTCCCTTTTGAGCGTCTTGCAGACACTCATCGCCAACCATGAGGCTTGATCGGGAAAGTTGACTCCTTCCCCACGGACGAATCCATGTCAAATCCCTGCCCCATGGCCATCGACGCAACAGTGATGCTCACCGAGGCATTGGCTTCGGATGGCCATCCGCTTCGCTTCGTTATGGAGTTCCTGCGGCCAGGGAACGCCGCGCCGAGAGTGTGGCTCATGGGTCTGTCTGGTATCTTGACGGAACTGAGCACTCAATAATCCGCGAAATTGAGCCGCTGCAAGGCCGGTTGCGATAAACAGGAGACAGACCAAGGAAATTAAAAAGTGGAGAGAATTGAAGACTCAACCAGGAGAGAAAAGTGACCTTGTGAGACTTGCTTTCAGTGACGTTTCCTGATTAGCGCCATGAGTGGGCAAACGGAAGCCTTTCATCAAAAGTCGGCCGTAAGATGGTATGATCGTGAAGTTCTGCACTCGCACGTGAGCAATGTGCAAATGTATGTCGGTCTGCAGGATGACTCAAACGAGAGCAATGTTTTAAGAGGACGGCTGTCATCAAGCGGGCCGCATTGACGGCCGCATGAAGGGTCAGTAACATTGTAAGTCGTCGAGGCGGCCAGGACCGGGATGGTGACTTCTACTGATGAGGGGCAATTGAGCGGCATGTCTGCAGTCTACAGGGCGTATGTACTCGCTATGTGTGCTGTAGGTAATGTAGTTGCTGCGTATGGGGGCCATCGTGCAGAGAGGGTCGTCCGGGCTCGGTAAGGCGCAACAAGCAAGGTATGCACGTGCTCTCCGTGGGGTGCCGATCCGTTTCGAAGTTCGAACCCAGGACCCTGGTATGAAGATTGCCGCGACAAGAGACGACCCAGCCAAAGCAGGATTGCAAACCCCGATTCGAGCATGCAATCGATTCAGAAGACTTATGTGTAAGCCTCAGGCCCGGGCTGCTTTGGGCATTCCTCTCACTATAGCACATAGTGCTCGACTGTGTCCGGGCACACAAGTTAGAACCAGTGACGACATCCTTAGGTCCATGTCAAGCGCTGTCACGAAATGCCGCCGTGCGTGTAAGCGAAGAGTTGGGATATCTGAGGCGACAAAGGCGAGATCCATCAACGTTGCAGAAGAGCCATGCGTTTGGAAGAGAGCGGAGCGGCCATTACTGTGGGGCGCTTACAGAACAAACAAGTAATCATTTCCATGGTTGAGATTGTTCCTGAAGATACAAGTGACAGCTTGCAGTTGTTGGCGTTTTGGTCATTTCGGGGCGGGATGTGATTGATTACCAGGAGAGCCGTTCGTGTGTTTGCCAGCCGATGACAGGCCCAGCAGCCTGCCAAATATTGACAGTCCGTCCCCGTTGTGTCCAAACATCAATACATACCTAGGCAGGAACGAATGGAGGACAGTAAGCTGAGCCGTCGTTTACCTGTGCATTATTCATTGGTACAAGAAGATACCTATTCTATGTAGTTTGTAGTACTAAATATGATCTTATGTGCATTGTAGGGAGTGTTGATGCCTGCAGCAGCAGATGACATGCCCTGCCTGTTCTCGAACGATTGCATACATGGTGAGATGGGGCAATGTAGATGATCGAGGACAACAGAAGTGTTGATTTCAGCAGTCTTGAGGCGCAGTATTTGCAGATCCAGCATGAGAATGATTGTTGTTGTTATTATTACACAATTATTCCATTTCGGCGTTGTTCAAGTGTGG